GACTGAAAACACTGATGCCCTGTACAAGAAGGACCAGAGCTGCCTCCACTTGTTGAGGAGACTGAGGTCCTGTGGTGTGTGCGGGGCACTCCTTCAGACTTTTTATGATACTGTAGTGGCATCTGCTGGTTTTTGCACTGTTGTGGCTTGGGCAGGAGGTAGGACGGACAGGGACAGAAAGAGACTAAACAAGCTGGTCAAGAGAGCTGGGTCTGTCCTGGACTGCCCCCTGGATTCCATCGAGGAGGTGGCGGACAGAAGGATGCTGGTAAAACTAACATCCATCATGCACGACCCCTCCCATCCCCTGCACCACACAGTAGAGGCTCTGAACAGTTCCTTTAGTGCAAGACTGTTACATCCCCAGTGTAAGAAGGAGCGTTACTGTAGGTTGTTCCTCCCCACAGCAATCAGACTGTACAGTGATAAGCTAGGTGAAAGTATGAGGGACTGTGTAATAGTCAACTGAGGTGCAATACTCAAATCCTGGGGTAAAATGCATGGTTAATATGCACATATGTAAATTCTGTTCTTGATTATTCAAATACTTGATTCTGTCTATTTTTGAGTACTTGGAATTTATTTATCAGGATGTGTGTGCGGTGCTTGTTCTCATGGTGTTATGCTGTCTGTTCTCTATTGCTGCTTGAGGTACTGAAATTTGTTATATCAAAATATGTGTGTGGTGATTGTTCTCATGGTGTTATGTTGTTTGTTCTCCATTGCTGCTGAAACACTGAAATTTCCCCATTGAGGGATCAATAATGTACCTACCTACCTACCTACCTTAGTTTATGGCTGAGCTACACTAACTTTATGCTTTATGACTGAACTTACAGTATAACTTAGTTTAGTACAGTTGTAGCCTTTAGCAAGTTCATAAACATTTTTACTTTTGATTTTTAGCCATGTTAAAGGCTGCGACCAAACCTCCTCTTTGGACCAAACTAAAATGTCTAAACTTTTGAATGGATTTCCATGAAGGTTTGTGCAACTATTGGATGAATAACCATGAACATGATAAACCTTATACTGTCCACCACCTTGTTACTTTTGTCACTGTGAACATGTTACCCATGCTAAAGTTGGCATTTACTGTAGCTGAGGTGTATGTGATACAAACCTTTCTACACTGATGCAGAATGCAACATGCTGCAATTGAACTAAGATGCATTGAAGAGGGCATGAGAAGCAGAACTTCACAAAGAATGTGAAGAATTTGTATTATTTCATAGAGAAATGTTAATCATTTGATAGTGAAGCCTAGTGTTTTTATGTTTTGAGTCTCTTAAGTGGGCAAACTGGTCTTGAGAATGAACAGTGCACTTTATTGTTAACTTATTTTACCCTCATTTTGTGAAGCTTGTATTTTAATTATTTTGCTGCATGGTTATTGGGGTCTGAATGCAGGTGTAAAACAAGATCTCCCCAATAAAAAAAAAGTTTTAGTCATTAATCATTGAAAGGAAAAAAACATTCTTTGAGGGATAACTCAGAGCTGTAATTACCTCATGCCGATGTCTACATCTGGTACTGGTGACAGCATCTACTCAGAATGGCTGAACAAAGTCTCTTGAGTTACACAACAATAACCTGGGGAAGTTCATACTTTCAGGTGTTAGAAAATAAATGTTCTTTATATGCAGGGGAAAAAATTGTGATTGATTGACCTCCACAGTGTGATGTAAATGCACCTTTTCCATCAGTGTTTAACTGACAAACTCTGTATTTATTGTACCACTGGAATGCAATTTAGGCATATACCTTGTTTATAGTGCAGGATTAACAAGGCATGACAGCATTAAAAGACTAGAGCTGGAATTTCAGGTCCATTGGGATGCCATTAGATATTACCATCTGGCTGGTTGATCTGTGATGGCTGTGTGTGCAAAAAGACACACACCAACCATGCTTCGGTCACCAACAGGCCACCGTACCGCTAAACGAGAGAAGCAAATCTAAAGTTGGAATTCAAAAAGTACCCTAAGCAGGAAGTTAGACTGACAACATATTTTTCATTTGGATGTCTGCACCCCAAGTTCCAAGTTTAACCAAGTAGCTTCCTTGGGATTAAAAACTCTGCTTATTCTTTTTAACTAACTGGCCAAGAAATAAGCATCATGACAAAGACTGCAGCTGTGCCCACTTTGCATAATTACATAAATATGCATGAGCAAAAAAAAAAAACACAATTAAAATCTCATACTGTACAGACAAATGCTCAGTCAGAAGTCATAATGTGAACAGTAGTGCAACAGCACATCAGCTTGAACAGTAAACAACAAGACAAAATATCCATTCATCATCCCTTATCTATACCGCTTATTCCTGAATAGGGTCATGGGTGGCTGGAGCCACTCCCAGCTGACTTTGGGTGAGAGGCAGGGTACAACCTGGACAGGTCAAGGTCAAAGGTCAAAGTGTTTATTTGTCATATGCACAGTTAGGAAATGTGCTTCCCTGTCCTGGACAGATCGCCAGTCTGAAGTGTAGACAAACATCCCAGGCTTGAACCTTCTTCCTGTGAGATGACAGGGCTAACCACTACACCGCTGTGCCATCCTGAGTTGAAATTAATTTAGTTAACCAAGGAACAGTCAGTTTCTTATTGAATCTTCCCTGACATCCCTCATAATTATTTTTAAACTGGCACAGATAGACCAGCTCTTTCAGTTTTACGTAATTTACCCATTGGCTGTGGGCGCAGAGAACATGAAAACCCTTTGGTCTAATGTTGTTTGCCCAGACAAAGAGCAAAAACACTTCCATGATCACAGTTATTTTCCACTCGCTTTTCCAGACACAGAACAGCACAGAATGCAGAGAGGCAGACCCAGCCTTACCGAGAAGTGCTCCAGGTTTACAAGGAACAGTGACAGATGAGATGTTCCATGCCAGTTCCTAATAAAAATCAGAGCACACTGACAGACTGTGGGAGGAACTGTTTATATCAAGCAATGATTTAATGAAGCACAAACATAAAGGTCACTCCTAAATCAAAATCCAAAAACAACAACACATTTTGCTGAATGAAACACCCAAACTGATCTTCTATTGTCTCTGTTTAAACCAGTTTAATCATTTTGCTGTTGATACCAATGCAGTACATCTTTTTCACATTACAGTTTTTAAAATGCCATAGCACCAGTAGAATTAATTACATTAATTGCCTGGTAGGGTATTGTACATGCTAATTCTACTGGGTCACTTCAGTGCAAGGAATCATCTTTATTATCATTAGTTACATCTGTGGTTCTCCTGACAAATTAACATATGCTGTGATACAGCAGAGGGTTATCTTGCTTTAGAATTTTATAGAGGATACATTTATACAGCTAAATTCATCTTCTTAATCTACCCTACAATTACCCTTCTCTCGCTCCACTGGTTGCCAGTACAGTTTAGAGTTGACTTTAAGGTGCTACTATTTGTATTTACGTCTATAAATGGCCTCGCTCCTCCATACCTGTCGGATCTTCTGTCTATTTATGCTCCGTGTAGACCTCTGCACTCCTCAGAGCATCTGTCATTGGTTGTCCCACGGTCTTGATACAAAAAATGTTCTTTTGCTGTGTATGGCCCCAGACTCTGGAATCCTCTACCGCTAGAGCTACGGTCCATAACCGAGCTGGCGGCTTTTAAGTCAACTCTAAAAACCCACCTTTTTAGACAGGCTTTTGGTGCTTAACCCGTCTTAGTTAGGGACGTCTTTTAACTTGTTGTTTTATGTTATTTGTATCCTGATATGGAAGCTTTTACTGCCTTTTGAATATCTGTGGTTTATTTTTTGCTTAGGTCTTATTGTTTTAGTAGTGTTTTTATTAGTGACACATGTTCTGCTGTGAAGCACTCTGCTCCATTGGAGTTGTAACAGATTAGCATGTATTATTTAACATAATTAATAGACATGCTAGCATAATTAGACATATTTCTATATTTAGATATACTTACTGCAGTAATGACCTGTGCAGTGAGTACTGCAGTCATCTCTGGTTAAACTTTTATAAATGAATGACGCACTATTGATGCAAACTGTCTGATCATGTATTTCTGCACTACATGTGCAGGTGTATAATCATGTTGCCCATTGTAGAACTGTTGAAGCGGTTCACTAGTATGTGAAAGGCATGGTGTGAGTAGCACCTACTGTAAATTCCAGGCTGCATCAGCTGTTATCACAGTTGTAACAGGGCTCAGTAAGAGAAAAGCACTTGATGTGAGCAATGCATGTCACTGTAACTGGAGGCCTGCAGAGTAGACCACAGCCTATCTACTATGACAAAGACAGGACATTACAAGATCTGGGTTGTTCTCCCATGTCTAATAAGGTATGAGATCTCTAGGCTGACATGGTTGAAGTGCTTGTCATTGGGATCCAACATATGAGCTTCTGCAGTCCTGACAATGCTATGATCTACAGCCAGTGAAAAATAGTAAGTGAATATCTTATGGAAAGCCTGCAATATGCTATTGGTGACAGTTGTGACAGGCTGCCAAGCTCTACAGAAGTTCAGTGGCCTAACATGTGTAATAAGAGCAGCAATTACAGATTAATGTTTTTATTTTCTATGCAAGAAGCGGAAAACCATTCCTGAGACTACCATGTGGGAGCTTTCCTACCAGTGGATTTATAATAGCTTTATCACATGTGCTTTTCAATAGACCATTTATATTTCATATTAACCTAAATCTTATAACTTAATTCTGATAATGCCACTTAGCACTTCCCTTCCTTACGTTTTTAGTGCTGGAAAGTGGGAATGTGGTCTGTAAAACATGGTTGTTGTTCATCTGGCTTCCATCCCTGCTGGTTTTCTATCTGAGCACCCAGCTGCTGCTGCTGCCTACCTACAGTATAAGGCCACAGTAGTAAAAGCCTCCCACGTCGTGTCAACTATAAATTCTTGTCTGTGCGAGTGATGCTTTCGGTAGCTATGGAAACCTAATATAATAGATACCCCCACCTCTCTCTCTCTCTCTCTCCCAGTCACTGTCTACGTCTCTCTCCCTCTCTCCATCCACGCCAAAGCTCTTAGGCTACTTTGCGCATGTACGGCCAGTCAAATCGAGCATTGCGTCGTGTCCAAGATGGCGAAAATACGTCTGGCTTATCTACTGACTCTCCTCTCAACTCACTGTAAGTATAAAAATCATTTTAACTAGCTGCTCCCTTCTCATCGAGCAGCTCGACCGTAAAGTACTATTCACTTCAGCGCGTGTCTGCTCGACATTTTCCGTAAACGTCTGGTAAACACAGATTGTGTCTGAGAAGTAGCCGAAGTAAACCTAAAGCCAGATAAAGCTCAGTGTTGCCGACGTGAACTAGGCTGCATGTAGTTATTCAGTCTCTTAATGAAATTATAAATAGCCTATAGTTGCGACGTAGCCTGACTTATTGTCAATGTAACTGGTAGATCTACGAGTCTAGCGGTGGTTTTTATCTTCTGAAGCCCATGTTTACTCTACGTCACTGTTTTCTGGGGATAATGCCTGTAAAATAAGTGTAACGCCAATGATATTATACAGTTATACATGTTTGCATAGTAGACCGGAGACAGCGCAGTTTTCCGCTCTTGCATCAGTTCGGCTAGCGGCACAGTTCAGAGGCAGGTTCAGCCACCACGTTGTTTTTTTGTCTTACTTTGGAAAAAAAAGTTGCAGGCTCTCAATCAACTTTAGAGAGAAACCTTGACTTTGTGACTTAAATGTAAATTATCGCAATTTCCTACCCGGTGTTGTTAATTGTTTAACGGTGGTTGATGGTAAAGTAGTGATGCGAGATAACGGTTTTCTTTCTGCGGTGGAATAAAGCAGGCTGTCTGCGGGAGGAGCCAGTCAGGTTGGCGTGTCCTCTCCCCCCCCCCCACCGACCCCGGCAGCCCGCACCGGCGGTGGGTTGCCGAACAAAACACAGCCGTCGGAAAGTCCATTCTTTTCCGTAACCCTTACCAGAAAGTCCTCCCATATCCTGGTGTGTATTAGTCCGCTTGGAAACGACAAACACCTGTATGAGCGGAGCTGTGCGCTGAAATGTCCCGGCGCAAACTCACTACGTTACCGCTATATGTGGTTTTAATGACGTGTTATTATATAGCCAAACTCAATACGTTACCGCTATATGTGGTTTTAATGACGTGTTATTATATAGCCAAACTCACTACGTTACCGCTATATGTGGTTTTAATGACGTGTTATTATATAGCCAAACTCACTACGTTACCGCTATATGTGGTTTTAATGACGTGTTATTATATAGCCAAGCGCCTTGTACTGTAAACCCGTAGTTTATCTTATACATATGATACTGTAAATATAGGCAATACCCTACAGATTAGCTTCAGGCTAAAAAGAATGGAACATTTGGTAATTTATAAAATGAAGTAGTGGTTGGTTAGCAGGGATTCACCCTGATAAAACAAGAGGTAAGGTTCACTGGAAGTTTACCTTGAATGTATGGAATCATTTTATGAACTTGAATTTGAGATTAAAGAAAAATAGTTTAATTTAAAATTCAACAAATGTCTCTGAGAAACATCTTACTTAAGAAACGTTGTACTGTTTTTCTCTGTCCATGGTTATAATGTGACTACACAGCGAGTGTTTTTCTCTGGTTTTCTCATGGCCGTGGATTAAGCAAGGTGTGAGAGGACAGATCAACTCCAGACATAGGAAGCTCCTGTGATCCCTGACTTGTGTCAGCTGACTTATTCTCTTTGCTTTAATGAGGAATAGCAGTGGAGCTTGTTTGGAGTCTGTGGCTGTACTCTGTCTCTTCTGACGTACCTCCAGGCTGTGAGCCATACATTTCAAAGTCAGTCCTCTTAACGAAGTTCCCCACAGCAAATTGGGGACAGGGTGCCATAACAGCACAATCAACATATTTGGAGGGGGGGTTGGGATTCAGTGAACTGGCACATATTAAAGAATTTCTTTTGTCTGGCCTGGACAGGGCTTAGCCATGTGGCCCACTGGCTCCCAGCCAGCAACACTGCTGTTTTTAGAAACAGGACAAATGTGGCTGGACTGAAGCTGACCAGGAGCTGTGTTACGAACCACTAATTGTTACTAATAGGTAGGCTACTGTAATTAAAATGTTTCTTGTAGGATTAGGTCTGCTTCATATTCGGTTTTTGGTGTTTCTAAAGCCAGAGGTTCAAAGAGGAATAGGCGTGTCATTTGCTGCACTTCTCGTTCTGTAGCTCACACTGTTGTTTCTGTGTCTGTGAAATGTGCTTGTTATGTTCAGTTTATGATATTATTTGAGAAACTATTGTCTTAATGGCCAGACACCCCCAGCCATTCCAAGTGAAGGCCAAACCCAGCACAACTGAACATAGCTGCAAATATCAGCCCAGTCATCTGTCAGCAGAGTGAAAGACTAGGCCCATTGTTATTTTAAGTACACATGGCTATAACAAACTTTCCAGTGTGAACTAATGGAATGCATTGACAACTTCTATTGTTGGCTTCACCATTTCACTTAAAATATTCCAAAGAAAGTGGTATGTACTTGAAGAGTACATCTGCCAGAACTGTCCGGCCAAGACATGTGGGAGCTTGGACGATACTCAAAGTGGATTAGTGCTGCGCAAATATAAACTGTGAGATCACCCGCTCTTATAAGAAACACCTGTGGACATCTGTGCATTTCAGGCCTTATTGCTGCATTTTTGGAATTGTCTTGATTAATTGTAAAAACCTGATCAATCACAAGTACGTGAACAGGGGACCCAGATCATGACAAATGATTTTCCAGCTTAATTAATCAGCTTTCCCACCTGATTAAGTGTTGACTTTGATTTCTCTTTGTAGACTCAACCTTTTTATGACTTGGCATTCCCATTGCTTTCACTCATGAGTGTCAACCTAATACAGCTGGACCCTACTCTTTATCTGAATGGATAAGATAAGGGAGAAATCTGTCCACTTGACTGTTGTCAAGCCTCCCCTGTTTTCTGTTGATAAGTTGTTGCATCACTCAGAGAGCTTTGAACATCCTCTAGTCTAACCCACATATAACTGGGGTGCTTGTCGGATGACATTACCCACCAAACTCTTCAAACATTTGTCTAAATGAGAGCCAAGTGTCGGCTCTTTTCTCATTGTTTGGCATGTGTGGCATTGCTGTTTGGCGTGGCAGGAGTCGGTGCGCCCCAACGTAACTGCTGATAGTGGCTCCCCAAGGAGGTGCACGCTGTCAGATGTTTCTCTACCCACACAAAGCTGGTGAGCAAATGTTTGAAGCACTCTGTTTGAAGCATGTATGGCCCCTGTGGGCAAGTCATGTACAGTCTGACATATTACTGCAGACACAGTAAATGACAGAGCAAAACAGAGACAAACAGAAAGGACCCCCTTGCTGCTCAGCATTTGTTTGTTACAAGTCTCCTCTGTGGATACCCTTGAGAGAGAAGTGACAGTGGCATAACACATTTATTGTCATTTTGGTCTAAGCTCAAATGTAACAGCAAGGAGGGATTCTGTAGTTACCATTGGATTGCTTGTGCTTATTGCATAACTGGGAGTTGTGTTATTACATTTTACAAAAATCACACAATTTTGTGATCATTTTTGAAATAACTGCATGTGGCTGTCCAAGCAACATCAGTGTCTACATGGGATAAAGTCAAAGTGGCACATGGCCCTTACTGTGGAATGACCTGGAACAGCTGAACAGGAGTGGGTGGTGTTGTTATGAGCAGTGGCGCAGGCGTAACCAGAAATATCTGCTGCGTCCCTCCCAAACCTGAGTGTGCATGTTAGCAAATGTAGCATTCCAAATAGAAAACACATGTAGGAATAAACCTTCTCATCACATGTGCACTGACTAAGAATCATAACCACCTGTTTTCCTAAGAGATAAAAGGGCCCCCTGCTGATGAGCTGGCTGAGGTCAGAGCAGGAAGGGGGAGATGTGAAGAAAGCTCGGCAGTGTTCCTAGATGAAGGCGTTAAAACAACACACACAGCTGGGTTTGATGACAATCTCCTGACACTGAAATCCATTTTAACCTGACACAAAGACAGATTCAGCTCCCTGTCCTGCTTTTATTCTTTTTTAACTTGCAGTAAGCTCCAGCAGATGCTAATGTTGAACACCAAACACAAACATGCTACCGTTACAGAAATGGCAATGTCATGTGCACGCTTCAAGTGTCAATAAGACGATCATGTAAATGAAGCATTGGCCATGAATCTGAAGCTGCTTCCAGGCAGTACTGTATGTACTGCCTGGAAAAACTCCATATGAAAATATTGTTATGGTCTCAGTGTAGAAACGAATTTTGCTTTGGTTTGTCTATAAACTTGGTCAAATTTACAACCAGCAGTTCAGACCAGAGGGATTCGTGAGAAAAAGGAGTTAATTGTCATCAAATTTAGAGTAATGTGCTTTTGGAAATAATGTCTCTTTATCAAAAGCAAGGCTGAAGTGGTTGTTTGTTTTGAGAAGGCATCCAATGTTTAGACTACTGTAGATCAACAGGACAATCTCCAAGACAGTTGACTCCGTACTGGCTGCCTGTACTGTGGGCAGCACAGGAGTGGCTTCCTGTTTGATGATCTTTATCGATGGTCACATGGTCCCTGGTGGGAGGAAGCGCCACAGTGGCTCTCCTGCTCCTGTGTTCACTGGTGTTGACGGAGTACACTGATAGGTCAAAAGAGACTGCCATCGATCAAACTTTGGGATGCTGTCACCTTAGTGAAATAATTAGGGGTTACATTAATGACATGGCAGAGGCAATGAACTACACGTGGCTGAGTTGCTGCCACTCTGGAAGGAAAAAGCTCCAGGCTGTGCTCCTGCTGAGAGTCATAACCAGATAATCTCTCTGACTTCATCTTCTGTGTACCAGGCTGTAGCAAGAGTACAATTACTATCCAAAAATAGCCATAAGACAGAGTCATGTTATAGCCTCAGGTGTTTGATCACAGTTCATTCCAAACCCCCCACCCCACCCCACAACATTAGCTTAGCTAGCCAGAAGAGTTGGATCTCTGTGATTGACAGCCTTGTGTAGACAAACAGGTAAATGAGGAGCTGTTCACAGACGGTCCATCTTCGTGGTTGTCATGTGTTTGTGTGTGTGAGAGAGAACTAGAGCAGGGCACAGAGGGACCGAGCCTATTTTAAATC